AAGATAGGGGGCACAAGAAGTCTGAGGAATATGCTGTTATTAAGTGGTTCAAACACTGAGAGTAACCCAGTTTAAAAATGGGAAAAGGGCTTGAATAGACATTTCCCCAAGGAAGATAAACATATAACCCATAAGCACATGAAATGGTAATCCACGTCATTAGTCATCAGGGAAATGCAAATCAAAACTACAAAAAGATAACACTTTGCACCCACTAGTATGGCTAGAATTAAAAAGCCATGTAATATCAAGTGTTAGTGAGGATGTGGAGAAATTACAAAATTTTTACACTGCTGGTGAGAAAATAAAATATACAGCTACTTTGGAAAACAGTCTGGTAGTTCCTTAAACAATTAAACACAGAGTTACAGTATGTCTCAGCTATTTCACTCTTAAGTATGTACCCAAGAGAAGTGAAAAAAAAAACTTTGTACACAAATGTTTATAGTAGTAGTATTCACAGTAGCCAAAACTTGGAAACACTCTCAGCATTTATCAATGGATGAGTAGATAAACAAAATACAGTGTATCCATATGATGGAATATCATTCAGCCATAAAAAAGAATGGAGTACAGACACCAGTTTGGATGAGCCTTGAAAACATTATGCTAAGTGAAATAAGCTAGTCACAAAAGTTCACATATTATATGATTCTATTTATATGAAAATCCAGATTTTGGAAATCAAGAGAGGCAGAAATTATACTAGTAGCTGCTAAGAGCTGGATGAGAAGAATGGCTGTAAAGAAGTATGGGCTTTCATTTTAGGTGATGAAAATGTTCTAAAATCAACTGTGGTGATGGTTGCACATATATGAAAATGTGCTAAAAATATTGCATTGTACATTTTAAATGGGTGAATATATGGTACATGAATTACATCTCAATAAAGCAATTTAAAAAACTGAGAAAAGAAGGTATAAGGTATTTGAGCTTTATCTTAGGTAATAGGAACATATCAGAAGTTTTTAAACAAAGGAATATAATGAATTCACATCTACTTTTTTTCTTCCTTCCATCGATTCAAAATCATGTAATGCTTTGAAACGTAGTTCTATGGTGCAGTGTTTTATTCCCTGAAGTTATGTATGCTCTAACATCAGTATTTTTTTAGTAATTATTATAATATACAAAACCAAAAGGGAAGAACATGCTCCGAATTACTCAAGGTGAAAGAACAGAGGAAAAAATTCAAACTTTGAGTGGCAATATTAAAGGAGTCTATGCACTAACCAGAAGGCTGGCAGTTCAAACCCACCAGCCACTCCTTGGAAGGAAGATGGGGCAATCTATTTCTGTAGTAATACTACCTCAGCAACCCAAGGAGGAGTCGCTATGAGTCGGGTCTGACTCCACGGCACATAACAACAACAACAACAACATGCACTAAACACTAAATGATGCAGGAAACATCAAAAGAAGCTGGAAGGAACACACAGTCACTGTACCAAAAAGAATTGGTCAGTGTTCAACCATTTCAGGAGGTAGCATATGATCAAGAACCAATGGTATTAAAGGAAGAAGTCCAGGCTGCACTGAAGGAATTGGTGAAAAACAAGGCTGCAGGAATTAATGGAATACCCATTCATACGTTTCAACAAATGCATGCAGTGCTGGAGGTGCTTTCTAGTTTGTGTCAAGAAATTTGTAAGCAACTGTCTGGCAGATCAACTTGGAAGAGATCCATTTTTATGTCCATTCCAAATAAAGGTGATCAAAAAGAATGTGGAAATTATTGAACAATATCATTAATATTACATTCAAGTAAAATATTGCTAAAGATAATTTAAAAATGGTTACAGCAGTATATTGACAGGGAACTTCCAGAAATTCAAGCTAGATTCAGAAGAGGATGTGGAACAAAGGATATCATTGCTGATGTCAGATGGATCTTGACTGAAAGCAAAGAATAATAGAAAGATATTTACCTGCTTTTTTTTTT